GGAGTTTTATGGTCGTCATAATAATCTTATTTCTGGAATGGTATCAGCTTTGGCGTTACTTATGGTCGTTGTTATACCTGGTGGATCCAATGTTGTTCTATTTGTGAACGTTACATTTCTTTCTCTGATTGACTAATATTTGCATGTTGAGCGTCGTCGATGATACAAAAGGCACTGACGCTTCTGGAACACCTGGTCTTGATCTCCTTTTTTCACGTGTCTCTGTGAAAATCTGTCTATGGTTGATATTTTTGCCTAGATTTATCGAAGTTTCAGTTAAGATTCTAACACTACATATGTATCGCACAGTGCTCCTCACTTGTCTGTCTTTTATTCTTTCCCTTGTATGATCATATATTGCAACGGAGTTTTCTTTAATAACCCTAACAACCTAAAGTATCTAGATAGAAAATGAAACATCATGACGTTTCATCATAATAAAAATTCAATAATAACGTTGATCATGCATCCAATTTAGTCTGACTCACTTATAGTATCATATAACTCATCGGCTGCAGTGATTATCACCTGTTATAAAATAGTAATAATGATAAAACCATTTTCAATACGCGTAATTGAATTTGTAAACCCTTAATAACACGATAATTCTACTGCCTTCTATAGACACAGTGACAACGTTCACAATCCAATTCTAAACTGAAACAAGGTGAAAATTGCAAGTATGACCTCGTAATAGTATTTCTCCAGTTTGATTTATCAGTGTTAAGGTGTAAACAGATACTTATTCCAATGTTTTAGGACAGAATTACGTTTTATCTTATCAAGTGGAGTAAGTTCAGCTGTCGTGGATTTGGTGCACGTGTACCGTTCGTGCTAAGTTGCACTTGAAGTTTGGTGCGTTTAGTGCATACTACTCAAAATAGATACTATGACGATTCGTTCAAAATATTACATGAGACATATCCAAAATATTTCTCATAGTTAACATTTAGATATTGCTCACAAAAATCATCTATCCAAATACCTGTTTTAGTGTCATTTAATGTCACGTTCCTAAAATGAGAATAGTAGCAACAACGAAATCACCAGGCATACTAACCCTTACATCAGTAAACTGTTCAGATCAGCGATTGCCTCTGTAGATGTGTGAAAAAATACATTCACTTTAAAATGGTAACAAAATGATATCCTAATTACAGTTTTATTAAATTTCCATTATTTAATAACAAAATTAATATTTGTTTCCGAAAAATAGATATTATTTCTAATTAAATGAATATAGCGGATCTCTCATTGTAATGGTGTTTTTGTGAATAATGTTTCCGCTGAAATACTTCGTCTTAAACAAACGTGAACAGTATATAGTCGTGCTGTAATGTTTCATCGTTGGTGAACATGTAAACATGTATCTATGATGATTAAAAAGACATATTTATCACGACGGAAGGAACTGATTTAATTTCCTATCTGTCATCTTTTTACTATGATAGATATGTTTCTCTATTTTCGAAAACAAGATATGTCCGACCGCATAATTTATCAGTTATTAGATTCTAAATCGTCTGGAGAGAGAATATTTCTTTGTCTTTTATATCATCTGAAAAACGGATAATCAATTTAACACATGGGAATGTAGAATGAAACGTGGAAATCCAATCAATTTTGACACCGTAAAATTAAAGTTAAGTTTATTAGCAAAAATATAAAGGATAAAAACTATTATCACAACAAATTAAATGTGGAAATCCATGAACATGTTATGAAGCTTAATATATCTTGAAACCGCATGTCATTCATTATTCATAATTTCATTTAAATTTAAATTAAACCGAACCTTGACATTAGTTAAAGCAGGGACAAATAATTTATGGTTATATTCTAATATTGCATCTCTTTGTATTTATTTATAACAAATATAAATCGTGACACCTTTTTTTGCAATCTACTTTGTATTAGACATGTAATAGATGTATCTGTATTAGACATGTAATATACGTCTTTGTATTAGACATGTATTAGACGTCTTTGTATTAGACATGTATTAGACGTCTTTGTATTAGACATGTATTAGACGTCTTTGTATTAGACATGTATTCAACGTCTTTGTATTAGACATGTAGTGGACGTGTATTAGACGTCTCTGTATTAGACATGTATTCAACGTCTTTGTATTAGACATGTATTCAACGTCTTTGTATTAGACATGTATTCAAAGTCTTTGTATTAGACATGTATTCAACGTCTTTGTATTAGACATGTATAAGACGTCTCTGTATTAGACATGTATTCAAAGTCTTTGTATTAGACATGTATTCGACGTCTTTGTATTAGACATGTATTAGACGTCTTTGTATTAGACATGTATTCAACGTCTTTGTGTCAGACATGTATTAGACGTCTTTGTATTAGACATGTATAAGACGTCTCTGTATAAGACATGTATAAGACGTCTCTGTATAAGACATGTATAAGAGGTCTTTTTATTAGACATGTATTAGACGTCTTTGTATTAGACATGTATTAGACGTCTCCGTATTAGACATGTATTAGGCGTCTTTGTATTAAACATGTATAAGAGGTCTTTGTATTAGACATGTATGAGACGTCTTCGTATTAGACATGTACTAGACGTCTCCGTATTAGACATGTACTAGACATCTTTGTATTAGACATGTATTAGACGTCTTCGTATTAGACATTTACTAGACGTCTTTGTATTAGACATGTATTAGACGTCTTTGTACTAGACATGTATTAGACGTCTCTGTATTAGACATATATTAGACATGTATTCAACGTCTTTGTATTAGACATGTATTAGACGTCTTTGTATTTGATATACATTTGACGTATCAATCAATCTGCATCTATTGAAGCACTGTATTGTATGTTTGTCAGTTGCTAAAATCGTAACGGATACAGTTATATTGTAAAAAACCCTTGAATATCGAATCATTTGAGATATGTAAACAGCATAGGCCGGCAAAGCAAAACTAATGCTGTGCAAGAAATGAAAAATTTGCCTATAACAACATAACTTGTTTAACTGCATCATACAAACAACTCGTACTTCTGAGCCGCCTCGGCGATACCAGTGTAAAAAATGTGAAATTGTAGAATGCAAGTAAAGCATGTTTTTTTATCATATGGTTATATTTGGGGAACAACGTTGCCACGTTTTATGTACATACCATCTGTTTATTGGTTTATAACATAAAGGGAGACTGTCATCAAATCAAGATAGTAAGCTTGCTCAGTTTAACATCAACTGAGCGTTGCCATTTGCAGTAACTGATGAGTGCCCCTTTGGAGTACAATTAGATTTTTCCTTTAACGAGATGACTGACAACACCAAGAGAGGACTTTATGCAAATATATATTACTTTAGAAGCTCTACAGGTACCGTTTTCACATGTACGTTTAAAATCACGACCATGACATGCTGCTTTTGGGTGCAAACGATAGTGGTCAGTAACTTCGAACGACCGTCCTACCTTCCGTGTGTTTGGATGTAATGTAAGATAATTTATGAATTTTGAAATGATTTAAATTAAGCGAAATTAAATACAGATATAAAATGTAAATAAACAATCGTATGTTGGCTTTAAGTATTGTTTATATTTCTTAATTACGAAAAAGAAAAAAGAAAAAGAAAAATAAGTTAAAGGTACGCTGTGTGTCGTGTTTTGTTCAATGGTTTTGATTCACATTTAGATATAGCTATTAGACACCAGTCACGAGCAACATAAAATTAAATATCCTTGATTGATTGGTGCATTTTCTTATTCAATCTAATTAAATGATACTTTGATATATTCTGGAATTTCTTTTTTTAATGATATTTGATTTGAAAGTTTCAAACTTTCTTTTATGATTTCGTGTTTCACGCTTAATTTCCATGTTCTTAATTGAGAACTCAGTTATATTTAGGAATACATAAACGACAAACCCGATTTGGAGTTTGTACGTTATATAAATGTATGTGGTAAAAGTTATTATGGTGTGGTTTTAAGTGATGGCATAATTAGAAATAAATTGATATTTATATATGATGAACAAGTGGTGTGTTTTGACTACAATAATATATGGAATTAATTAACCAGTATTGTATGTTTGAAGGCATCTTGTTGTTTCCAAAATATAGAAATGTATTAGTGTTATAAGCACATTGTCTACATTTTACTGAGACTTAATGCTTTATTGGAGATGTTATTCAGAAACAGAAAAAACAATAACAAATAAAAAAGGGAAAAAATAAGCAAAAATAGAGAGAGAGAGAGAGAGAGAGAGAGAGAGAGAGAGAGAGAGAGAGAGAGAGAGAGAGAGAGAGAGAGAGAGAGAGAGAGAGAGAGAGAGAGAGAGAGAGAGAGAGAGAGACAGACAAAAGAGAGAGAGAGAGAGAGAGAGAGAGAGAGAGAGAGAGAGAGAGAGAGAGAGAGAGAGAGAGAGAGAGAGAGAGAGAGAGAGAGAGAGAGAGAGAGAGAGAGAGAGAGAGAGAGAGAGAGAGAGAGAGAGACAGACAGACAGACAGACAGACAGACAGACAGACAGACAGACATAAAAATAAATAAGAATGATTCAAATTTAAAATTGGCAGCTGCATTATTGTTTTAAAGTTTTCTTTACACAATAGAAAGACGATGGATTATTTTTCCCTATATGTATTATATATACTCGTTAATATGTCTGGTGGTTTCAGTGTTGTTATCGCCGTTCTCATTTGGGAGCTAGACATTACCTTCTTGTATGTACCAATCTTTGTAGAGCGGGTATTATCAATGAAGTTTAAGACACTATTCCTTCCGGACCACTCTGATTCCATTTTAACTTTTGCATTGTCTCTTTTTTAATTTTTTAAAGTTGAAGAATCTAAATTCTACTTTTAGCTTATGTGATATCAGAATATAGATTTATTTGCTTTAGTGAACAGATAAAAGACAACGATACGTAAAACGATGATAAGTCATTGCGAGGTATTACATAGAATATATAATTGTACAGAAAAAAGACTCAGTAGAGACAATGTGAAATGATAAATGCTAAATACCATTTCTCCATTTCTGGAACATTGTAACCACGGCTGAAGAGCGCTCTTTGGTGATGTTTTCGACAAGAGGCGTATAGCTCAGGATCAGGGTTAAAAGCACGCTCAGGAAGGTGCAGAACACTTCATTTCCAATTCTCTTCAATAAAAAATACATACAATCGATCCATAACATTTTCCGGACACATGGATTCAGCGAAAAGTTTATTAAAAGAACAAAAAATCCCTTTAAATAATAAGTAAAATTTAGACATTAAAATGAGGAATGCATGCAAAAAAAATAGGCATAATATATATATTTAAACTACAACGTTAAATTATAACAATGATTGAATATTAAACATTTTAACTAACACATAAATATATTTCTTACCCATATCAAATCTGCTCGTGTGGGGCATATCGTCACCATTTCTCTTGTGGTTAAGTAATAAAGCATTCGTTCGACATATCCTAGCTCGTATTCCACACTAAGTAAAAAAGAAAGTCAGAAAGTTAAAACTAAATATTTACAAACATGAAAGAATACCATATTTATAAACTTAAAATTGTTATTGACATTATTTAGAGTACGGTAATGTATACATGTATAATTAACGGTCAGGCGACGGCATAACTTACCACGTAAGGTTCCGATAAACAGCAGGACCTTGGTATACGGCGCTCAGTATTACCACAAATATCAAGAATAACTTAAAATCCATTGTGGAAATCCTATATTTAACAAAAAATCTGTTATTAGTGGAGAGACTCATCTTCTCCACCGTCGCAATTGCTAAGCAGCATAGCAACATAAAGGTGACGTCACAGATAGTATGATGTATTGTACACAGCATGACGTCATGTTATTGTCCCCATTGTGGCGAATTTATCAGTTATGTCTATATGTTTCCTGTGTAGCGGTAGCTGTATATCACACATCAACTGACTGACATGTAACACATTTATGGTGAAAAAGATTATTATGACAAGGAAAACAAAGTGATATTGAAAAAGGACATACCAACTTCACCTAATTAAAGGTTTTTTTTTAATTTTAATTGATCACATGAATTAAGTATACTAAATATTTCATCTTACAGATTATCTTGGTTCAAATATTTTCTTTGAGACAGAGAGAAGATTGTTAAATGTGGTGATATATCATCTGAATCACAATTTATCAAGTCATGTGTTCAATATTAGGCCCTCTACTGTTTATAATTTATATCAATGATTTACCACTATATGTTTACAACTAATTAAACTTGACGTGTTGAAGATTAGTACATGTAACAAACATGTCACCTTCTGAAAAGAAGAAGATTATTTTCTCTCTCTTTATTTTCAGGATGTGAAGCAAGCCGGAGCAGGAAAGAGCTTGATGTAAAAGAAACTTCATAAATACTCATGGTGGGTTTTATGGTTTTGGTGTATAGTTTTGAGTTGACTGATTAAAGACATTAGGTCAAAGATAACTGCTATATTTCTGAAGTGATGTTCACATCCTCCGCTAATAATTATTGATAGTTCTAATGACCTTGTATGTCTGGCTTGATCATAACCTTACATGTAGATTTTATTTATTGCCCTTTGTTTTCTTTGTTTTTTTTCTTTTTTCATAATCATTATCATTTTCATGTTTTGTTTGTTTTCTTTTTATCTTTTATTGGCTATTTTTTTTTATCTTATCCAGTCCCGATATCTCTTCCCTCAGCTTTAACCGATTTCTTTAGAAATCAGAAGGCTTTAAGGTGAGACAGTGTTAAGGAGAATAGCATGACACTTAATGTAAAACTGGAATTGTTCTACATTATTTAACACTGTGTGGACTCCGGAGTCTCCTTGGAACAAGATGAAGAGATGGGAAGTTTAGAATGAAAATAAATGCAAATTAAAATTATCAGAAATTACATCACTAGAACATCATATTCATTATGTTGATCATCTCCCAAAGAAATTCTGTCTAAAGCCAATATACATATATCTGGCCTGGTGATATTATGGACCATGCTGTTATCTCACGTCTTTGTCCTTGATCATGATACTTTAACCCATTGGCTTTAGATGGAACGCGATGGACCTCCTGCATTTTGTTCAGTGAGATGAAAACAGCTGGTAGCAGGTGTTTTCCATTACACCACTCTACCTCTCAACTAAAGGGAAATTCCCACTAGCCGAGGCTAGTAAGGCGATCTGTACTCTCAACTTCTTCACAGATATCAGTATGTTTTCTTGATTAGTTTGGGACTTTATGATTATCATTATTATCATTAAAATCTTAACGGCCCGTCAACACATAAAAGGTCATTAGGGTCATCAACCGGTAAAACACACAGCGATCCAAGTTATCAAAATGCAACGCTATAGACAATTAGTTAACATGTGTGTATATTTAATATCCGCATAAGCATTTTATCGAAAATATATATTACGAAACTTACCATTTTTAGCTCACGGATCAAGTCAAATTCTAGACACATGTGTAAACAGAGCTCGTCATGTATATATTACACGTGCTGTGTATGATTTTTACCTGAAAAATTGAAAAATATATGAGATATGTAATGAGAGAATTTAAATGTTTGTTGGATTTCATATTTCAAACATTCTTGGCGATATGTTTGTGCTTATAAGACCATTAAAGTAATTAGATAATTGTAAAGAATCTAATGTACCTGGAGATATAAATTACTACCATATTGTCACTAACATCGTTCTCCCTGTGACTTCATTTACTTTAACCTTTTCGCTCAGTCATTTCGGACAAAACAATTCAGTTAAAAAATAAATAATAAATACTATATAGTACAGAATTAAATATTTACGCGATGTTCGTCATTTAAACAAGATATTAAACCGAAATGAAAATATCTACATTAGCTCTGCGGATATACCGTGCTTACTCGATCTTCATCAGACATCGTTCATTCCACCCCCTCCCTTTATCGCCTTGCGCCAACTACCATGAATATATTGGTTACTTGCCCTTGATCACTACACGAAACATGTTAGTCTCTTGTTGTCTTGATATCATGTATTTGTTCTATTAAGTATTTAATTACGTACCGTTCTTCCTCTAACGTAAGACTTCCTTTCTCTACCTCCACCCAAAAATATTAGTGGCCCAAAACATTAGTCAGCAGATATTTTACATTATTTATGTATGTATGTTTAGCTTTTTCTGACATTAAAAAAAACGCTTTTCTGATACTTGGATATCTCATCCTTATTTAAATTGTCACAAATTGATCTCGACAGTCGCTGGAGTGTAGCAAGAACGACAACTCTAGTATAGAAATTGATCAAGTGCGTGTGAGGGGCATGCTATAGAGGGAAACAGAGTGTCATTAGATAATATAATAAATAGAACGAGTAAGTTGTGACGTATTTTGATTGTTGAGTTTAGCATATCTGGTTTGTCAGGTTAGTCATAGTTACTACCTAAATACCTAAGGCTTGCAATATTTACCTGTATACATATATAATGATAATTTACTAGGCTTTCAGCTTCACTGTAACTCAAAAGACAAAACATACCAATCGCCTTGCAAGAGAAAAATAGAAAATTGTGATTCGTTTGCCCCTTGCTTGAATTTTTGTCCCAAACGATCCTTGCTTGAACATTGTTTCGGTGAATTACACGTAACGTGTACTGTACAAGGATTATAGGGCGTGTTCTAATTTAATGTACATGTACATACATATACAGTCGCATTGCTTTGCCTACATGTACGTTAGCGTACAATATGATGTGTCTGCATGTCATTTACTACGATCGTAAATGCAATAACAAGTTCAATGGACATGTATATTGTTTGGCTTTTGTTTCATCAGACATTCACGTATCATACATGTATCTACATTTTCATACGTAGGAGTCCAGGTATTAGCGTTAACATCCTGAAGGCATAGATCTTAATTTTGTTTCAAGGAATCATACTTCGTTTTACGAATAATGTTTCAGTGGACGTTGAAAGGTTTGGTCCTGATTAAGTTTGCTCGTCCTCGATGCCCCAGAGGTTACGATCAGTTTCACTCTGTGCACCCTTGGGACATGTCGTGGCAAAATTGACGGTTCCATGTTTGATTATTTGATATTGGGTGTCGCTTCTTTGTAATATTCAAAAGGAGCTTATCAACTTGTGATTGGTCAGATTTCTTCCTCCTGACACAAATCAAATTTCCTGCGCTTGCGCCTTCACTTTGCCATGCACAAAGTATTTTGATGATATTCAATAAAATTTTTACATCCCATTTGTTACATATCAATTAACCACAAGCTAGTTTTAATTAGCAATCATCTTTCCATTTGTGAAACATTTAAAGAAATATTTGCAGAAATGGGAATACTACGATGGAATCCGATAAACAATCCATCAGTTGTAAAAGGTTGAAAAAGGTGGAACACTCAGAGCGCTATCTTATCAAAATTTAAATATCAGCATATGTATAACACGTGACCTGTATAGATAATAGTAACACATGAAAACTGTGTACTAATTGCTCTAGATGTTTTGCTTCCTAGTTTTATCATCGATCCAGATATAAAGAGAAGTGATGGCAAATATAACGGTATCAGACTGTCACAATAAACACTAGGTTTAATTATCAATATCAAAACACCGTACAATGATACAATTCTATCAAATACTAACGGATACGTTGAAACGTAAAGGAAAAGTTAAGTAATCTGTAAAATTATCGAAACCAAAATTAAACAGTAAAACACGAGACTGACCTCCATTAATAAATACTTAGTACCTGTTTTAATGTGTTCCATTCTATTTACGATTTACATATAAACCAGTAATTGTTTTATGTAATTTTCGAATACAAATTTTGAGAAATTCAACACAGCAGTAGCACACCAGTGATTCCCTTTTTGATCAAAAAGTATCGGTATAATTCCCTTGTTCAAAAGTAGGTATTTCTTTAAACTTTCCGAGGCATGTTCACGTTAAACCGAAAAAAGTAAATACCGGGTGCCAGTCATCTTCGTCTCTTATTCAGAATGACAATTTATCATTTTCATATAAACGTCTATACATCTATACAGTAAAAAAAAATATATATATATATATAAAATACGTCTCATATTCAACAAAGCGCGAGAACTTCAGCTTCGTGTTTCACAAACGGAAACTACACGAGTTATCCCTCTTTGACTAGTACAAATTCAATTGTTTGTTTTTACCTTGATTATTCGTTAAAGTGTTATTTTGTTTTATTTTCTAATATTTCATCTAGCACTGACAGCCAGCACGCGATCGAAGTGGTATTAAAGTATATCTAAATGCCATTCTTCCTATCAAAGAACTGTCGCGGATCACCCCCTTAACAGAAATAGACTAATCATAGCTAAACTTGTATGTACGTGTAATGTATAAAGACTCCACCTATACATATCCTTGCCGTATTAGTTTCGGACCCCTTAATAATCATGGCTCGGTAGCGATGCTGCGTCGATGAGTTGCAACCAAACAAATACAATAATGTATTGGAATGTGTTCAAACAATGATATTCATTCAATAAAGTGATCCGAGAATGGATTGATGGTCTATTTTATAATATCTAGAAGTATGTTTGGCGTTAGTGGCCCGGTACAATGGTAAGTGTCCGTCAATGGCCTGATACAATGGAAAGCATCCGTCAGTGACCTGGTACAATGGAAAGCATCCGTCAGTGGCCCGGTACAATGGTAAGTGTCCGTCAGTGGCCCGG